TCTAGCGAGTTTCACAGTGGTGACAGCAGCGGCAATCCACCTGTCACTCAAGTGGCCACGCCCTTAATTATGCAGAATTTTAAGGCTTAATATAATTTAAACGGGTGAGTTATAAAAAAATTCACCCCCCTCACAGTTGTCATGAAGGGCAAAATTAGCTATATAAACCAATATAATTTTTTGTACCAGGCTGTAAACATGTTTTTTTCTGCTGTAAAGTTGGGCATTTTAACATGGGGAGTCTATGGGATTGACTCCCTTTTGCAGCCAGCCTCTAGCGGCCAGCTGATGAATTACAGTTTAAGTCCCTTCCTTGTTGGCATCACGAGAGAGGGGGGGAGGTTGCCGCTTGGTTTCTAAGCATTTCAGGGGACCTTTAAAGTGTCATGAAACCCCCCTGCTGCAGCAGTGTTTTTTCACACCTCCGATTTGAAAAGGGTTCCAAAAAGGGGCGTGGTCAACTGTGAAAAGCTGTGAGGGTAGAGTCTGGAAAGAGGGAAGGGTTTTGCAAAAAAATCTACACACTCTGAGGCCCAAATCTACGTCAGATTTTGTGACGTAGCTTCGACTTAGCTTTTCAAACCGGAAAGACGAAAATGCTCGGAAAAACGCAAAAATAGCCAATTTCCACTTATTGATAACATTTATGAGTGCTTTGCAGCCAGTACATATCTGTTCCCATCTCAAAAAATGTGTTTTGGGGTTTCATGACCCTTTAATGTGCTGTCTTCACAACCATTTGGAAGATGAACACTTTCACACAGGCAGTGTGAAATGAATGACAGGAAACATGTTTGGTTAGATGAGGGAGGACAGCTCAAACAAATTGAGGTCCACCCATTAAACATTCATTGACATTATAAATTTATTTTCAAAGTCATCTTTTGGAATGGATTTAAATAACGTCCTTTGTTCGGTATCTACATAAATTGGTTTATAATAGTAAAGCTGCCTCTCTTTTCTGCTGAAAGCCTTGAGATCAGTAAAGAAAAATCTCTCTTATGGGAGCTATGAGGGGGAAAATTGGACGACAGGCATGAGCACACAAAATGCTATTTTCAATATTCTTTGCCTAAAACATCTCCAACTCGGATTTCTTAAACAGTATTTGTGCCAAGAACTACTATAAACCATTAATAAATCATTTGGCTCTGGTTTCTTTGTGCTACTGAATGTCTCTCATCTTTCTAACTTCACTTCTATTGTCCACAGATGCTTTAGATTGACTTAACCTGTAAAACACACCAGAAAATGCCAAAAAGAAAATACAGCAATTCCTCTGGCTAAAGACAGGAGGGCTGTATTAAGCAAAATCAAATTAGCTATAAACTGAGATCATATAAATCAAATCTAGAAAAAAGAGAGATAAAACTGGGCTGTGTTTCTTAACAAATGTGTTTTAATTTAATTTTAACTGGGGGGGAAAAAAACAATAATCTCAAATTGCAAAATATTTAGGTTATGTGGCAAGGTAATCTGCAACTGTGTGCCATATGGTGGTTTTATTCTGGAAAATTCAACAAACTAACATTTAAAGTCACCATAAATAGCTGTTCACAGCTCATTTTACTTCTGTAATGTGATATATTTTCAAGTAAAACAGGATATTCAATGAGAGAGAGAGAAAAAAAGTCGATTGGATTAAATGCAAAAGCCTGCCTGAGTCACTGTTTTGCTCTTACGCTTACAAGACAACAATGTGCTGAAAATGGAAAACCATTGTCCTTTGCATATTTCGTGTTTCATTACATTTTAATTAAAGATTACAGAGCAAATACACCACAAACCATTCATAATAAGACCAGGAACATGCATTAAGAAAGTAATGACACTCACGACTTGTTTCAATTTGACTTTAACATTTGAAACAAAGTGCAACTCCAGCTAAAATCTCTCACTGCAAGCCCAGCTAAAAAGACAAAAACAAGCCTGATATTGCTAATTTCCATGCTTCAACATATTTGACTCTTTTTGTCTCTGTGAGACTCATAGTGGCCGAAAGACTTGTAAATGTTCCCTCGTCTCCTTTAAATTTCTATCCCAAGCTTTTGAGCACCATTCTCACAGCTATCAGTAGCTGAGCATATGATCCATTCTGAACTACAGAATGGAATTATTATGTGAAAATATTGACCTTTTTGTTTTATGATATTTTTGGGGAAAACAAGTTGTTTTTCATCTAAGGTGTGTCTCGAGGTTACAGGCACGCTTCAGTGAAACAATGACATTTCAGCATTGGCTGGTTCGTTGTAACCACAACACACAAAATCAATGAAGATAATATTTACAGCTAATCACAGCTAATTTAGAGCTAATTTTACAGCTTTTTGATGCCAATGACGACATCACAATGGAACAAGTCTACAAGCAACAAAAATGTAACAGCTGCCAGCTGTTTTCTTCATATCCTGACAGTCTCTCTTTTTACAATGGGTTTGAGTGAACAGTTTTGTTGTTACTTTATACATTTACTATGGCAAGTTAGGAGCAAGCTTAGCTAAAATAAATAACTACCAAGACTCATTATTGATAACTACTGAATTACTAAACTGTATTTTTAAAAAAAAGAAATACTAAAGGAAATGTCAGGCAGAATTGTCACACAGCATGAAAAAAAGGCTGACATTTTTTTTAGTGAATAATAATGAATTATAAATTTCATTTTTTATAAATAATCAATCATCAATTTCAGTCTGTTCCTCACGCAAAGTTATCATATGGTAGAAAGACTTATAATAGGTGGAAAGGTTGTATGAATGCTATTATGGCCCTTTATTCTTATTTTTTAATTAATGTAATAGCTGGGTTTGTCCCTTTTTAATCCAGCGCTGGGTTATATTTAATCCAGCATTTTTTAGAGTGTATATATTATTTACTTATTATTTATTTATTTAAATCAAAGGTGGCTGCTGGTCAATTTATGGAAAAACACAGCTTGGTCATTCCCCTGAATATCTCTTTTTAAGTTTCATGAAACATTCTTTAATGTCTTTAAATGAGATGTTGCTCTTTGTATTTTGCTGTCAACATTAATGTCCTTGTCATGTTTTTGCAAAAAGCACAAATGGACAATGAGGCAAAGAGAGCTAGTTCTTCTGAACAGGCCAAACTGAGTAAATAACAGGCCACATAAAACGTAAATTTAATGTCTCAAATGTTGTAAAAGTATGTAATCTCTGTAGTAGCAGATAACTGCGGATAAAATTGTTATAGATTGCATTGTTAGATTGCTTACTTTCATCACAAACACCTGCATGTTTTAATGGACTCCTACTTCATAATAAAAAAAAAGCAGAGCATTCCTTAATTTTTTCCAAAACGAGACCATTCCAAAAGGGCACAGGAGCAAAATAAACAGAGAAGTAGAACATTTTGAAATGTTGAGGTGGAATTATGTTAATGATGAATTAGATTCAACTCCTTTGGCAACACTAAAGCATTTTCTCTCATGAGGCATCAGCAGGTGTTCCTATAACCTACGAGTCCAGGAACGTTCCACTCACTAATCAAACCATATGAAACCACAGCTTTACATTCAGTTTAATTATTAATTCTAATTGGATTCACAAAATCTTTCATTGTGTTTGTCTCCTTTTTTTTGTCCACTAGTTTGACAAGCTAGTCAGAGCAAACTACGCTGTTCAAAACCTGTGATTTTGTTGTTTTCGCAGAACACAAAAAGAAGTTTAGCCGAATGTTGATCGGGGATTGTTATACTTGAAAAAACACCATGTAAGTACCGTGAAACTTGTCATATATCTGTAGTGTATTCAAAGTCCCCTGAAGTCATAAAATAGCTTTGTCTAGGAAACAGCCCTAAGTATACAGCATGAGATGTATCGCATAATTTTATGGTGCATAAAAAGAGCAGTGTGAATACGCTGCCTAAAATCGTCTTTTGAAAGTCATACAGGTTTGCAAAGATGAATTCAAAAATGACAATTCATTGGGTTTCATTAATCTAATATTTTCTAAAAAGGACAACAACGCTGTTTTGAAGACCTCTGATGAAATGCACAGCGACAAGCATCAACATGTTTGAAGTTTTCTTCAACAGTATCCTCTTTAATTAATTACATTTTTGAATCTTGAAAGTTTGTAACAGCTCTTACCTGTACGGTAGGTGAAGTTTGCCTCAGCTTCTGATGATGGTGAGAGAAAATCATCCTCATACTCGTTGGAGCTAAACGATCCAGAGTGGTTCCTCTTCCGAGAGTCCATAACTTTTTCGGAGGCCATTACATGCCGAAGGGAATCATTTAGATAGCGGTTTAGCAAGCTGTTCTTGTATTTTGGTGGAGACACATAATCATCACAAACCGAGGGGTCTGCGCTTCGCCCCACCCCTTTGCCTCTGCTGTCCTGAATAACGCTCTTGTGCGTGGGTCTGTTATAGTCTGATTCGCTGGACTGAATCTGTAAAGGATTCTCCCCATCTGTGGAACACAAAAAGATATAAAATCATTTTCACGGTTTTAGTGTTGGCACAATTAATGCATTTTGTCTTTGAAGGCCAGAATACATGAGAATGTCTATAGAATAGATAAATGCCCTAAATCCGTACCGTCTGATGTTGTGTCATCACTGCTAATGCTGAGTCTCTCAGCATTGCCTTGTACATATTTGTTGTACAGCTTTATGCGTAGGGCCCAGCTCAAGTCAGGCTGTCGAACTGTGTTCTTGAGCCTACGCCTCGCATTCGCAAACCAGTTGGAGACCTGAAAAATACAAACACATGATTGTTAAATCAGGAACACGTTTTGGCTTATCTTGCTTGCATTTAATGAACAGTTAAAAAAATGATGCAATACATGTTTGTTTTTTTTCAGTCAAGCTAGTTGTTTTTCATCCCTATATCACTCCTCAGAGTCAGGCTGAGGCTGGTTTTTGTCTGCAGTTTGAAGATTTGACATAGTTAGATTTTTTATTTTTATTTATAGGACATTTATCATATTCTCATATAAATGCATACAATTTATATTCGTTTACATAATCTGTCTGTGTTTTACGATGGAATACTTCTACCCTACCAATATTACTCCTGACACTAGATAGAAGGGGTCACAAACTTGTTACCCATTACATCAATGATGCATTCATACAGTAAACTAACAGATGCATTTACAGATGTGTCTGCAGCAGAAATGACATGTAATACATAAATCAGAAAGGTGCATTTTTTTTTTTGCACTTTTATATTATTCAAGCAACCCACCTGGCCTGCTTCCATTGCAGAAATGTAATGCATCTAGTTAAATAGAATGTGTTTGGCAATGGTGACATTGACTCTTTTGTCAGGATTTATCTTTTTTTTCACATGGTAAAAAGTAATCTTGCAATTAAATAATAGTTAAATAAATGAAAGGAAATATAAAAGTTTCAATCTTGAAATCTGTGTATCTGTCTTGACGTTGGCAAAAGGCTGATTTGGGGGTAGATTTATTTTGATGTTTTGATATCGTTTAGTTATTGTAATGTTTTGTCACATAAACCTGCCATCCCTGACCTGCTTCACGTGCAATTCCTAAAAAAAAAAACAAGGATTAAGTCAAAGTGATCTGGATTTCTGCTTAAGTGGATTCTAAATGATATCAGATTTTCCATGTATGTCATGATATTAAATACAGACCTATTTAACAAATAACACATGCACCAGTTTGCAGCGCCATAAATTTACTGGACCAAAAATTTAAACATTTAAAATCATCAATGGAAAAAGTATGTGACCCTGAAGGATACTACAGTCAGATATTTCAATGCATTTAGACTGACCTGCTCTGCAGTATCAAAAACACATTAGTGCCCCACTCTTCATGAGAAGATTCTGTTTATGTGTAATATAACTAAATCAAAAGAGATTTCAGTAGACCTCAGAAAGAGACCTGTTGAAGTTCATGAGACTGGAAGGGTTGCATAAGAATTTCCAGACTTTGCCCTCTGTCCATCTATAATCAGGACGATAGTTTACAAATGGAAGAAATTCAACATGATTGTTACTCCTATGAGTGGGCTTCAGCAGACTACCAGTGTACTTGGTAGTTTACCATTAGGAAAACACTAAAGACGAGAGGAAACCACTAAACCATCTCCAAAAAAAGTATGGTGCCTGATAAGATAAAGGTTTAATTTTTTGTCTAGTTCTATATGTTTAAACATTCCAACACCAAAAACTCATCCCAGTTGTGAAAAATTATGCTGGGAATATGATATTGTGGCGGCTGTTTTGATGCCTCTGGGCCTGGAAAGTTTACAATCAGAAGGACTAATGAATTCCAAGCCGTACCAAAAAAAATTATACAGCAGAGCTTCAGCACATCTGTCTGTTATCTAAAACTTGAAAGAGGATGGTTCATGCAACACAACAAAGACCCAAAACACAGAAGCGAACAACAATTGGGAAGAATTTGGTATTTTTATATCCAAGTCAGAGTCCTTGAATTCCAAGCCGTACCAAAAAAAATTATACAGCAGAGCTTCAGCACATCTGTCTGTTATCTAAAACTTGAAAGAGGATGGTTCATGCAACACAACAAAGACCCAAAACACAGAAGCGAACAACAATTGGGAATAATTTTGTATTTTTATATCCAAGTATAAAACTCAAACAAATCCTTCAAGTAAATGAAACACCAGTATGGCCATGTCTGCAAGATACTGCAAAGATATATTTTCCATTAATGGGAATGTTGAAACCAGCCGGATTTGCATCAGAACCCAGATTTGCCTTTAAATATCTTGATGACCCATCACACCAGAATTGTAAAAAAAAATTAAGCACAGACATCCTTAAAATATATGAACTGGTTAGACCTAACAAAGTACACAATTATCAGAATGGCATACGCTTGATAGGAAAATGTTGCAGTAATAACAACAGCAGAGAAATTCACCAACCTGATAAATGAGACAAACAAGTTAAGTATTTTATTAGTATGAGCAAGTGACAGATGAATTTGCACAATTACAGGTATACTTTTGTAGAGGTTGACTGGGCATGTGGCTTTTATTGTCAAAAATAAAATTATAGGAAATGTTTATGATCTTTTTGAAAACTATCTTTTACTATTATTATTATTATATTATACATCTAGTTGCAATTTATTTTTGCATTAGCATTGTTTTAAATCAGAACAGACTTGTGACCCACCAGTGGCTTAAATGCCATTTTACATTGCTGTGTAAGTTGTTTGTTAAACATGTCATGATAGGACTAATAAGCTTTTTTCTCACTTCTACATTCTGTACATCCATGTTTTTATGTCTTAATATATATATGCTCCAAATCCATCCCAGTGCTCCCTCAAAACCATGCACCCCAGTCTGATCTGATCAAATATCAGTCTCCTTCAGTGTCAGTGTTTGTTTTGACCTCACCTGAACCAATGGGCGAAGTATTTAAATATTATTTAAATACTAAGTTTAAAAAGTAAACTTAAATAGCAATATCAACTATAGCAAATTGCCTAAAAATGTAAAAGTAGCCTACTTACAAAGTTATCCTGTTAGTTGCTAAACTACAGGGACACTATAATTTCAGTGTCTTCCATCCCATCTGCTCATATTCAACAGCACTGCGCTCAGCAATGTTGCTCTCCGCTATATCAACCCAACACTAGAGGGTTTGACACCCCGGAACATGAATATAGAGCGAATCTCGTCTTTCCCAATGAGTCTGGCGGGCTCGTGTCCATTCAGCTACTGTGCGTCTGGCTGCAAGCGGGACTGGATCATCTCCAGTGGACTTCTCATATGTAACCTGCTTATTTCACGGATAACATTTTATAGGTGCGTTGGTCAGGCTCAGCTCAGCGCCGGCAATTAACTAGGACCGTCTGGTTTAAAGCAGAAAAGCACTAGCAGGCGCTTTTTAATCCTTGTTAGAAAATACAGTGAAACGTATAAAGACTTTATGTAGCCTAGTGTCTTTACTAAAAACAACAACTTCAAGAAAACATAAATTGACGAAACTCACCTTACCCCTCTGGTAACAATTGTGAAAAAAATAAATAATGGCATAATGTCAGCCTTAGGTCAGGTCATAAATAAATCTGGAGATTTTACGCTTATTTCGAGGTTACCAAATAAACAAATAGGCTTGGCTTGAGATATTGATTGAGTTTAAATGTATTTATTTATTTACTCACTCACAGGAAAGACAGGACACGAACGGACATTATAAATTATGTTAATCATAAACAATTATTCATGGATCTAAATCTTACAAAATGTACCTACATTTTTAATTGGTAGATTTACAAACACATAAATAAAAATACTATTTTTATTGTTCTATATAAAATACTGGTAACACTTTATTTTGATAGTCCAGTAACTTTGCAGCATGTCATTAGAGTAAGACTGTCTGCTTAATAGGCTATCTTCTAACACTTTATTTTGATGGGTCCACAACATACAACATACTGACTATAAGAAACTTTACAAGTATATGTCAACTTATTCTACTAACCCTAAACCTAACCTTACAGTCTGAGAGTTAGTAGACATGTACTTGCAAATTAATGAGAATTAGTTGACATGTAGTTGCAAAGTTACTAGTTAGTAGAATGTCTAAAGTGGACTATCAAAATAAAGTGTAACCAAAATACTTGCTGAAAACTAAAGTAGCCCCTGGTTTTACTCCACTTAGTTTAATTATGATGATTTGCACCGATTTGATACATTAGTGGCACCTCAAATTGAGCTCAGAATAAAAACATTTTTATGATCAAATATATATTTTTAAATGACGTATAATTATGGTTATTGAGAAATCTTTATTTCCCACTCAGACCTGAGCACAGATGTTCTCACATAGGGGTGTTTTAGTCCAAGCTTTTGTAATCACAAAGAGCATCCCCATATGACACCTTAAAGCAGACAGCACATTCCTCTGCAGTAGCCCAGGCACATAACACAGCAACACACACCATAAATTCCTTTCCCTCAGAGATAGCCTCGCTACCACATTTGTTGATACTAGCTACACGCGGCTCTTTTTTCACCTAGGAAAACACAAAAAAGAAGGGACACGTTAAGGTCGAGTTGTTCACTTAAGTTGCACAATACTGCAAATGTACAAAACTTTCCACATAAAAGACACAGGTTAATTCCCACTTGTTTTTCCACTTTTTCGGATAAAGGATGTTTCAGGATTTCTCAGACCCAATTTTCCAGGAAAATGTACTTTTATATAAGCACTTCCTGCTTTTTTGCTCTAATACGTGTATTTGTTGACTTAATACTGAGTAATGTTGTGTAATGTAATGAGAATATATGGTTATGAAGCTGTAAAATTCATTGCAAAAACAGCTGCAGTTTCTTCACAGGCCCCAATGAAAAAGCATTGGGCAACTTGAGATTACTGCAATATAGCACCAATTAGAGCAAATCCGAAACCACGAACACCACAGCCACAAATGCTCTGCAGCACAGAATAAAATGAGCACAGCCCAGAGAGATGTACGGTATGTCTGTAAATGACACAATCGGTTTTATATTCCTATATGGAATGATCTGAATAGAAACAGTGTCAGCGAATGTATCACATGTACTACAAGCCTTTTGAGTCATTCAGTTAACAGTCTCAGCGCCCTCTTGATCTGTTGTTTTGATTCCTAGACTTTGGTCACAGATACAGGATTGCATGTACTGGAAAAAAAATATGACGACTGCGGTACATGGCGCTGGCCCATGAAATGTGTGCATAGTTGCAGTTAAAGGCCTGAGTTTATAAACCTAGAAGGAAAAAGCTTTGAAAGTGACAAGAAGAACAGCTATTATGTTTCCAGTTTGGTCTTGTATATCTAGCAGTTCTCGTATTAATTGCAACTAATGCTGTTTGATGGGCTTTAGCTATTATAATGCACTGGTTTTTCTCAGTGGTATAACTGAAGCAATGGGACATTCCGTTTCCATGTGATTTGTGTTTGGCTCTTTTATAGCTGCTTGATATAATTGGCCATACGTTGCTTTAGCAAATCACATCTATTTCTTTGATTGGGCAGCTGTTGTTCTAAGGCGGCAATGGTGGATCTGAAAGGTCACAGTATTCATGTGCAGCGGTTCTCGGCCAGAGCCGGCTATCACTGACAGTCTGTAGAGAAGAGCATTACTGCAGCGTTACTCTGTCTCAGACTCTATAACCAACTCCACATGTCTTATCTAAATAAGCACTATGCCAAGACAGATCACATTTCCGTCTGGTGCTAGCCAGACGTACGGATTACCTTG